GACTTGCAATCTGCTGGGACTGATGTGTATCTTAGAGAAACAAGCTTCCTCTTTCTCTCCCCCAGAGTACCTTTATTGAAGAATTTTTTTTTTAACTAAAATTAGGGTCTTGTTTTCTTTTAGCTCTTTAAATACACTGTTTTGTTATTTTCCCATCCTCCATGATCTCCAGTGAGATGTCATCAGTTTTTACCATGGGTTCCCATATGGGGTTTTCTTCTTTCCTCAGCATACACCATTTTCTCTGTATCTTTGGTTTTCAGTGGTTTGACTTTGAAATAGCTACTCACATTTCTCTTCATAATTATTCTATTTGTGATGGCTGATTTCCTCAAATCTATAAATTTATGCTTTTCATGATTTGAGGTACTGTGGATTCTTTTCTTCTCTAAATAGGTTTTATGTCTCATCCTGTCTTTTTATGGCACTCTTGTTAGCAACCTAGACCTTTTACACCTAGTTATTCATTATTTTTCTTTTTCTCTTCTCCAGATGGATTCCTGTTGAATTCACCATTGATCACTGACTTTCTTCTCTATTACAGATTTTTTCTATTAAAGCTGTCCAGTCAGTTTTAAAGTTCAGATAATACAATTTTTTGTTTAAAATTTTTATTTAGTTTTTGTAGCTTTACTCCCTACTGAAAATTCCATCATCATCATCATCATCATTATTATTTGCTTTACCTTACAGCGGATATTTCCTCATAATTTTGGAATCTGGGTCATTTCAGGTCATGTGTTTTCTTGAGGCTTCATAGAATTTCCTAAGTTGTTGGGCGATATTTTGCACTTTTAGCTTTTGGGACTCTTTTGGGGCCTGCCACCTAACTCCCAAATGAATCACACACAAAGGCTTATTCTTAATTATGAATACCCAGCCTTAGCTTGGCTTGTTTCTTGCCAGCTTTTCTTAACTTAAATTATCCCATCTATCTTTGGCCTCGGGGCTTTTTATCTTCTGTATTTCTGTAGACCTTTTCTCTGCTCCTTACTTCGTGTCTGGCTGTGTAGCTGGGTGACTGGGTGGCTAACCCCTAAAGTCCTCCTCCTTCCTTTATCTTTCTCCGATCCTCAGATCCTTTTCTCCCAGATTTCTCCTCATGTTTATCCTCTCTGCCTAGCAGCCCCACCTATTCCTCTCTCTCTTGCCTCTCCTGCCTCGATATTGGCCATTCAGCTCTTTATTAGACCATCAGGTATTTTAGACAGGCACAGTAACACAGCTTCACAGAGTTAGATAAATGCAACATAAACAAAAGTAACACCCTGTAAAATAATATTCCCTAACAGGTTTTTCTATTTGCATTAATTTTGAATATATCCTGGACCTTGTGAATATTGTATTGTGTAAACTCATAATTTTAAAATATTTCTTATAGGAGTATTGATGATTTTTTCCTTACTGTGAAATTAGTGTGGTCATACTCAAGTTGTATACTATCTTACTTCCATTATTCACTGCCATGCTCACATTCAGTTCACTTATTTTCCCGTTAATAGATGATCTCATGTAGCCCAGGCTGGATTTGAGTTTTCTGTGTATCTAAGATAGCCTGCAGCTGCTAGTCCTTTTGCTGTCATCTCCCACAGTCTGAGATTATACTTAATAGTTCACTTCTTAAAATAGTATTGGCAAGACAGATTTAGTTTATGAATGGGACTTATGAATCAGATGGAGACTAGTGCTGAATTTAAATGTACGATTAGACATTCCCAACTCCTAGCTTTCTCCCTCTCATAATACCCTCCTCACACCCTAGGAGTCTAGCTTGATCCAAATTTCATTACTCTTTTCCATTGTAATAGTGTATAATCCCTTTCACTTAGCACTTAGGAAGTGTAGACAGGAATCTAAGGCCATCTTCAGCTACATAGGGAGTTCAAGGCCAGTTTGGATTACTCAAGACTGTCTCCAAACAACATTATTATAGTTTATATCCCAGAAACCCTCTTCCCTGTCAGAAACACAGACAATGTAAAAAAATAAAAGCATGGCAATCAGTATGTCACGATCACTGACACGGTGCTCTTTCTGATATAACATATTTCATGTCAAAATTAGAAAAAGTAAAGAAGGCCATAGCACATTAATAAAAGACACTCCCTTGAAAAGATTTAACAGTTGTAAATACATATCCACCAAAAGTTGGGACTTTCAGCTTCATAACAAATATGTAGGCACATAAAATTCAAATAATTGGTCCTAAAACAATAATCTTTCATCAATAGTTAGGTCATCAAGAAAAAAGTCAACAAAGAAACAATGGTATTGATGAAATGAAAAGTATCATTAGAGAACTCTGAAAATCCAAAATGAAGAATAATCTAGAAGAATTTAATAAATTTGTAGATACATATAACTTATTAAGTAAAAAGAATATAAACTACTTAAATAGGTCCATAACGATCAACAATATTGAAGCTGTAATAGTCTCCCAACAAAGCAACTTGAAGCTCTACAGATTCACACTTGAATTGAATTGCATCAGACCTGTAAAGATCTAACATCAGTGTCCCTCTAACTTTCCCTAAACTAGAAACTGAAAGGACACTTCCAAATGTATTCTGAGAAGAGATGAACTGAGTAGACAGTTCCCAAAAGAAGAGCTAAAATGCAGTCAGATGTTATCCTCTGCAAGGAATAAGTGAGGATAAGATAAGGTGTGTGTGGAAATGACTAAAATTCAGTGTATGTATGAATGAAATTGTCAAAGAGTTAAAAGGCCAATGAATATATGAAAAATGTTCAGCATCCTTAGCCGTCAGGAAAATGCAAATTATATCTACATTATATTCCATCCTATCACAATCAAAATGGTCATCATCAAGAATAGAAATGACAGCTACTGCTAATGAGGATTTAGGAAAAGATGAACCATCATACACTTACAGTTATGAATATAAACTGTTAGTACCATATATGGAGATCAATATGCAGGTTCCTGAGAAAACTGGAACTACCATACAGCTCAGCTATAGCACTTCCACTCATATTCAAAAGAATGGGATGTAGTGAACCCACAGTCATTTCTGCACTATTAACCATCACCAAGATGTGGAACCAGCCATGGTGCTCATTTACAGACAAAAGGAGAAAGAAAATGCTGCCTTTTTCACATGTAAAGAACGATTTGACATTTTCAGGAAAATAGATGCTGACCCAGACAACAAACATTATTGTTTATCAACTGATAATCACAAATGGACGTTTTTGGCCTTTATGATATGTTTTAAGAAGTTGTTTTCAACTTCTGTATCTGCTGCTTTCAGCAAACGGTACATGTGCATTACTTGGGTCATCTGTGTGGAAGAGTATGTAAGTTAAGATTGCAGCTATGCATTAGCTTAGGTTGTAAAAGTTGGTAACATACTGTTCTCTTAAAGGCAGGTTAAGTAAACCGGCTGAGGACGAAGTAGAAGAGCAGTCTTAAAGGACTTCAAGGTGTATTATGAACTCTGGCTGTGAGGTTCAGCAAACATTTCAGTCTCTTAGAATTTTCAGAGTATTGCATTGCCACAGAGGACCATTTGGGATCAGGAAGGGGACTAGTAGGAATGAGGAGTGAGAGAGGGATAGGGATCAGAAAACAAAACCTAGTTTTTGTTTTCTCCTGGATAGTAACCACTTATCTTTGCCTTGGCCTTACTGTAGTCCTCTGGGAGAAAGGCCATAAAACTTAAGAGCCTGCCTGTGTACCCTAGCTTTCACAGGTCTCAGAACTGCCTGAGTTGTATCTCCTAAGTTCTCCAGTAGGTGCTCTTGTTTTGCATTAGATGTTCCTTCATACCATGAATAAGAAACACAGCTTTTTAAAGATGGTCATTACTTTTCTGTTCCGTACTCTAAGGTCACTTAGCTTTCTTTTCTCAGTATACAGCCAAGCTTATAGGGTACACATATGTAGAGAGTGTTAGCTGTTCTACTGGTCCACTTGTTCACTCATGGCTTTGCAGAGTCTTCTGAACTTGCCTGAGTTTCTCTATGCATGAATTATTTTGCATATAATATAAATTGGAAAGATTAAAAACTCTTTGGAGAAGTAATAACTTATTTGTAAATAAAATCACCTGTCTGATAAGGTCTCTCTTCCTTCTCTTCTTCTTCCTCCTCCTCTTCCCCCCCCTCCTCCTCTTCCTACTCCTCCTCTTCCTACTCCTCGGGCACATGTTTTTTTGTCCTCTAAGTGGCACTTGGCATCAATCTGTGCAGTAATCTCTGGGCTCACTGACTCTCTTGGTTTTTCTCCTGTCTCAAAAACTGGTGACTACCAAATCTAACCAGAACATTCCAGGAACTACAAATTTAAGTACCTCTGTACCTACCTAATAGCACAGCTAGTTTCCACCTGAGCAGCATGGATGCCCTGGCTTGTGGATCTCTGGTAGGATGCTTATCAGCATCCCTGTCCTCCGTAGCTAGATACTGATGATAAATTACTCCCCAGCTCTTGGTCGCCATGCCCTGCTAGATTCTCCCAGGAGTACAACTACCATTGGTAGAGAATTCTCCAGAAACCTACCTTGTGAATTGTCTAACTATTCCACCCTCTAGGAATCACCTGTGTTCTTGCTTTATTCACTTTGGTGAGAAGGAAAAAAAAATCTGGTGATGTTCTGATTTTTAAGGAATTGCTTGTTGCACTTCTTTGAGAAACAAAACAAAACAAAAAAAATGTGTTGGTTTGCTCTTCACTTTATCTGTTCCCTGATGTGGCTTACTTTCTTCAAGGGCTCATTTAACCACAAACGGTTTTGACAGGGTTAGATGCTTGGGGTAGTTAGAATTCTTTAGTGCTACATATTTCAAGCTTTGCGAGTCATAGCTGAAAGTAGTTAGTAGGAGAGGCAGACTTCTGTTAAACTATGTGTAGTCTGACTCTGATAGAATGACTCTGATATGAGAACTGTTAGTCAAAAATGTACCTCACTTAATTTGCTGAGATGTCTTTGTGTTGGTTTCTCTGATTTTGTTTCTCTTTCCCTTTTTCTCTTGGTCAGACAATTCACTCTCTCATGGGGAATGCCATACAGCCCTTACTGACTTCAGTGGCAGATGCGGTCGAGGCTATAATCATCACCATGCATCAGGAAGATTTTTCCGGGTAAAACATCTCCTCAGAACTGTTACTAGTCCTCAGTGTCTTGATTTTCCATTCCCTACCCCTCCTACTCACCACATTCCTTGCCAGCCAGACTTTATTCTTGTTTTATTTTTGTTTGTTTGTTTATTGGTTTTTTGAGACAGGATTTCTCTGTGTAGCTTTGGAGCCTCTTCTGGCACTTGCTGTGTAGACCAGGCTGGCCTTGAACTCACAGAGATCCACCTGCCTCTGCCTCCCAAATGCTGGGATCAAAGATGTGCACCACCACTGCATGGCTAGGCTTTATTCTTGTGATAGCATTAGCTCCTTGCCTCCTCCTCTTTCTTTATGCATGTTATTACCACCTTCTCTCTGTTCTTGTTTCTGTCATCTCTCTTTTTGTTGGGACAAAACAGGTTTGTGGACTCAGCTTGATGCTTCAGGGATGGGTAGTTTGTGCCAGCTTCCTTTTCCTGTTTTCCTTCCTTCTCTCAGATATCCTATTCTTTTCCTGTATGATCCCCTGGCACAGTTGTGACATTCCTCTTGAGGACTAATCTGAATCCTGCCCTTGCTTTGGGAGCCAGCTCTTTCTCAGCCCTCTGAGTCCTAATCATGCTTTCTGTAAGGAGAGCCTGTCTAATGAGTTTGTACAGGCAAAGGAAACAGTGAGAGAAGGGCCCTGGATCTTTGTAGGAATGGCTGAGTCCCTCAAAGGAAGTGGTTCTCAACCCGTGGGTCACAACCCCTCGGGGGTGGGTGTTAAACAGCCCTTTCACAAGGGTGGTCTAAGGCCTTCAGAAAACAGATATTTACAGTACAATTCATAACAGTATCAAAATTTCAGTCATGAAGTAGCAACAAAAATAATTTTATGGTTGGGGATCACTGCAGTTGGGAAGGTTGGGTACCACTGCTCATATATAGACAATGCATACAAAGCTGGCACTATGAAGACAAGATGCACATCTACCAGTTGTTAGTCAGATGTATTCTTGATCTTCACTTCCCCTTCGGCTTCTGCATAGCACTGTTATTGTGAAGACTCTGTATTACCTACACAACTTGTTAGAACCTACTATTCAAGGCTTTAGAATATTTGGGAAAATTGATCTCTAATAGCCAAGTATATTTGTCTTCTAGTAAATTTAAATCAAGCTTTTAGTCCTCAATGAGATGTGATACTATGTATCTCCAATTCCATCGGAAGTGTAACTTCACTTTCACTAACAGTGCTGCTGGAGCTTGTTCCAGTGTGCTCTTTCCTGTGAACACACTCCCCACAGTAATAGAAAGATTTTGTGATGTGTTGGTATGAAAAGATCTGAGAGGCCAAGCGGATTTGGCCTTCACATGAGACTTAGCTTTAGGAACATACATAAACTGAAAACAAAGGGATGGAAAGATATTCTGTGCAATGGGAATCAAACAAGAACAGGAACAGGTGTAGTTAATCAAAATGGGTTTTAAGTCAAAATTGTAAAATTCGACTCAGAGATCATTATAAAATGATAAAAGGGATCAATTCATTAACTGGATATAATATTATATATAAAATATATATGCATATCCTATCAAAGCACCTAAATATAAACAGATATTTAAAGAATCTGATTGCCACAACACAGATGAACCTAGAAGACATACTATATCAAAATAAGCCAGACACAGAAATCAAATACTTGATGTTCTCATTTATGTGTAGAACCTGAAATGATAAAATCAGATAGTAGAGTAGTGGTTACTAGGGCTTGGAGGTTGGGGTAATGCATTGACCAAATGGCATAAAGCTATAACTGTTGTTATTTTGTAAAAGTTTAAAAGTTAGAAAAGAACCTTGAGATGGAACTGGCACGATGGAACACAAACCATATAGTACATTAACCATAGTTTATTAAAGGTGGGGAAGGGGGAAAGACAAGAACCGAACAAGATGAGAGAGAAGAGTGAGGGTGGGAGAGAGAGAGAGACAGAGGAGACAGAGAAAGTGTAAGAGAAAGACAGGAAGGTAAGAAAAAGTATGAGAGGAAGAGAAGAGAAGAGAGCAAAGAGTAAGAGAGAAGAATTAGTGGTCAACCACCGGAGACAGAGAGAGAGTGGAGGGATGAGGGCGCAGGCTTTAAAGGGGGAGCTTGTGAATGCACAGAGTCCCTACTCAGCCCTGTAACGAGTGCCGTAGCCATGATGTGACCACGCAACACAGTGCCCTTTGAGCTGCCTAAATCTGCCTGAACCTTTCAATAACTAGATAGGAGGAATAAATAAGAGTTTACTGTAATTGATGTGTTCATTAGATTTTTTTTTTATCTTTTCACATTGTATACATATGTTACTAGGTATCACTATATGGCACAATTATATGTGTTTACTGTTCATTTGGTAGATGAATAAACATGAAAATATTTTTTTGCAACTTAGCCCTTTATACTGGTGCCTCAATAAAAAGAAACCATGTAGTGATCTGAGTCTGGCACTTGCCATCTTGACCTCTGCTCAGGCAGCACACCACCCTGTCATGATTCAGAGCCTGGGCACACTGTACCGAATACCTGGTGGTGACCTTGCTGCTATTAGGAAAGTCTTTCTTACATGTTACATCTTACATCCTTTCCTGGTGGAACAAAAGCCTACTTTCCCTATTCCTGTCTGCTTCCAGAAGTAGAAGACCTCTGTTTACAAACACTATTGCTTTACTTGAAGGTCATCGAGCTCACTGTGGTCTCTTTCTCAAGGAATTTTAGTCATGGTTGTTGTTCATCTCTAGATCGTTGCCATTTCCTCTGCATCAGTCTCAGAATTTGGAAACATTTCCCTTGCCTTTTGGAAAAGATTCAGCATTATGTAGGCAATGATCTCATCTATTAGCTGGGATCAGGTGATTTCTAATTTTGGTCTAACTCCTCCCTATAAATATTTCATATTCTTTGAATATATTCTTTAAAGGGCAATTGTAAACATTTATAAGTTATAAATAGTATGTCATGGAACACAGCTGGTATCATCTGCTGTTCCAAATTAAAGCCTTTCCAAACCTCCTCATCTGGAGGGAAAAAATTTCCTGCTGCATATTGTTACACAAGCAATCCCTCTATCACAGTGCTGCCATGGGACTAATGTGATCAACTACAAGAGCAAAGATTGCCACCAAGCAGTTTTTGCCCTTGCAAAGTGTAAAATGTCATTTCAGACTCTGTTATTGCCATAGTCACTTACCAGGCAAAACATGGGAGTGGGTGGCGAGCAGAGAGCTGGGTCACACCGTGAAGGCCAGAGTGTGAGTCATCTAAAATAGATAGGTGTCTTTGATGCTTAGTAATCTTTTAAGTAAATGCATGCTGAAGTTCCTTCAGTAATCCTCATAGGTTCTAAATACTAATTTAAGAATATAATTTAGGAATTGTTTTATGTTCTTTAGCACTTAGCAAAACAAAACAAAAAAACTGGTGTCTTTATATGGTCCTAATGGAGAAAATTGCACAGGATTGAAATAGTAACCAGAAGTGAAAATAAACAAGATTGTAGCTTTATGCATTGATGATGAAAATGCCTTTTTTTTCTTTTATAGGTCATTGTCCAGCTCAGGAAAGCCTGATGTTCCTTGTTCTCTATACATGAGAGAGCTACAAGGTTTCATTGCCAGAGTTATGAATGACTACTTTAAGCACTTTGAATGTTTGGATTTTGTCTTTGACAATACTGAAGTTATTGCCCGAAGAGCTATTGAACTTTTTATCCGAAATGCCAGTCTTGTAAGACCTCTTGGGGAAGGTGGGAAAATGCGACTTGCTACGGATTTTGCACAGGTAAATTGCTGCATTGCTGAATGAGCTTCACTGTCATCTTCATGTAAAGAAGACCTAACATGACAGTATCTAACTATTTATGCAGCAAAAGAGAAAAGAAAACCCACTTGAAACTAATTGGAGTTTTAAAATATTTTATTGGATTTTATTTTTTTTCTTTTTAACAAAATTATCCCTCATCTTTGCCCCTTCAAGATTAAGGCAGAGTATCTTATGCCATAATGAAGCAACAGTTGACATTCTTGCTATTTTAATCATCCAGCAAGGACACAATAGTAATGAGTGATTTGCTTGGGAATGGTGTGGCAGTGGGATGCATGTCTTACTGCTGCGTGTTGCCCTAAGAGAAAGAGCTCCAGCCGTCAGTGGTCTTCAGAGAGCATTGTGTCTGCTCGGGGAGATGGGCAGGCTGCCTGGCAGATAGTCAGATTATTTAGACTCTCCACTAAGTACATTACCTTTTCCCCTGAGGCTAGCTCAAACTGTCTGATTTTCCTTCTTTACCTTTCAGTAATCATAGGCAAAGGAAAAACACCCTAAGTGCCCAGTTTCATGAGAAGATTCAGAAACAGTTGATTCTCTTTTATATATCCTGGGTGAATCCATTTCTTTAAACCTCTCGAAGCTGTTCTCTTTACTGATCTAAATAGTTATTCAGTTGGAGTCTTCCTATTAGTCTGCCAGATCCTTCTTGCTTAATGCCAGTGTGTGTCTGGGAGAGGACCTGTCCAGGGTGCTGGCGACCAGCTGCTCCCACATACTACCACACTTAGAACACAAACAGCCAGCCCAAACCTGGTTTTCAAAAACCATCCTCTTTGCTTGTAATGACCCAGCAGCTAGTTATTTTCATTCCCAAAATGACGTATGTGAAACTACTAAGCCATACAAGAAGAGCCTTCCTTTGGGAAAGGTACCTTTAATAGCCAGATGTGAGAACAGAAATAATTAAATGTCCCTATTAAAGTGACTTAACCTTATCCATTTCATTGCCTTCATTCTGTCTGAATGAATGAGTGAAGTGAATAATGACTGTGGAAACAGTTGTGTCCATGTGTCCCACAACCTATCGTGTACCTTAAAAATATTGTAAACTGTTCTCTAACTGGTCTCTCTCCTGCCCCCTCTCCTGGGTTTTGTTTTTCTTTCTGTCTCCCTTCCCCTGCCAGACTCCCTCCCTCCCTCCCTCCCCAGCTCATTTGCATTCTTCTCCAGCTGGCTTGAGTCACTTTCCTGGAGGCAGCACTTCAACTCCAATTAGAGTGGCAGCTGAGCAGGAGATGGCCAGGAGGAGAGTGCTGTAGGAGAGCTTGCTGTTGGGGTTTTATTTTAATGATGTGTTCTCTTAAAAGATGGCAAGTGTTGTCCTTTGCAGCCCCTCTGCAGCTAGCACTGCAGAGTGCACAGCCTCCAGTGGTAGGCTGGGATCCCCCTTCCCAAATGAAGAGCACTCAGAGTTGTATTTGCATTCCTTTTTCCTTCTGAAACCATCCCCCATGAGCACAAATGGAGCTCATTGGCTCCTATTGGTGCACACTGTTTTCTGTGCTGAGCTTAGGTGCTGAGGCTCAGCCCCTGCCACCCACCCTCATTTTGCTACTGCACCTTGTTCCAATCTTAGAAGATCCTACCATCCCTTTTAGCCTGGCTCAGATCTTAGCCACAGGTGCAGGAAGACACTATTTTGACCAGTAGTGTTAGCAAACTTCCTAGGTCATGCTCGCTGCTCCATTTTTGTTTTTGTTTTGTTTTAATTAAAATTTGAATTGGGGCTTTGATTTCACTGGGTTTTGTTTCTTGCCACAACTGCAATTATGTGTGGATCTTGAGCTTTCAGAGTCGTGTTTGGCCGAAAGTGTTTTGTCTGGCATAGTCAAAATACTAAAATGACATTTCTCTGAAATTTGTATGCCTGAAATACATCATCTAGGGACTATAGTCTTTTACCTAGCTCATTATTAAAAGGTCTATCAGTTTGTAATCACAATTAAACAAGGCCACTGAGGTTACTGAAATCCAGAGCACACAATTCTCTATGGGTTTGAAAAGGGTTCTTGGGATGAAAGTCCTTGCTGTTTAGTCATACACAGAGTTCAAGAAAAGACCAGTAGAAAGAATTTGGGAAGATTTTGACTTAGCTTATAGACATGAAGACAAACAATGAAGCATTTTAAGGACTCTCTAAACAGCCCTTACTAACCGTGCTCCTCAAGAGCACCTGTGCATAGAAAAGGCAGTTGCAGGCTACCATCTGGAGGGTGCATAGTGAGGGAAGCGCCCTGCATACAGCCCAGTGAAGAACTAGGTCATGAGCATGAGGTGGCTTCCTACAGGTAATTAATTTCCTGCTGTGACCACATGGCCTCTGTGTCTACACTAATCACACAGCAGTTCACAAAGCCCACAGGGCTCTGCTGATTCCCATGTGGCAGACATGCTTACAGTGCCTGCTTCAGCACCATCTTCCTCTCCACCCCGCTTGCTTCTTTTGTTTTTCTCTGAGGGAAAGGACAGCTATTGAAGTTGGATTTAAATTATTTAGTGGTACTCCTAGCAATTTCTATTTATATGTTTTCTGGTACCCTTTAAGTATACATTTTTATCTTTTCCACATTGTCCAAATAATGTGAAGTTAGAAAAGAAAGCAAATTTCTCATTTTGGTTCTGATTCCTCTTGCCTTTTCTTATCTTGAACATTGTCAGGGCAAGAATGCCCCTGAAACATCTAGATGAGCCCTATGGCGGCCAGTGCCTGTCCCTGAGTATCCATCTGGAGCTCTGCAGACTCCTCTAATAGAACACTCCCTCTTTAAACATGAACTTCATTCTTTTCACTTTTCAGTCTCCTAAGGGTCCTTTTTAGATTAAAAATTCATCTTAAACATTACCTTTTGAAATCGCCCTGTGGCATGGAAATCTGTGTAGTCACGGAGTTCACAACCATTTGAGGTGATAGTCTTTCATATAGGAACTTTGCCATAGCTATTTAATTGTTTTAACATTTAGTCTTATTCCAGGGCTGTTCTGTTTTTATTTTAAAAAAGGAAAAGAGAAAGCTTTAAGATGAGACATGTTGACTAGTTTCTTATATGGCCCGGCAGAGTAGGGAGACTAAGAGAGAAGAGGAACAGGGTAATGGCTGACCGCCATGGCCGGTCCCCATAGAGAGCCAAGAAGAAACAGAGAGGGAGAGTAGAGAGGAAGAGAGAGTGTAAATGGGCAGGGATCTGTCGAATTCTCAAGACTGCTTCCTGCTGACATGGTGGGCGTTGACCATCTTTGGGGGAATCCAAGAATGTTGGGGTACTGCCACATCCTGGGGTAGCTGGTTGTTTCATTGCAGTCCAGGCTGTACGGAACTCCCTGAAGCCTCTTAGACCTGTTTGTTTGGATCCAATTCAGCTCCCTGGAACTTATAAGAATCCTTAGAGTTTGTGGACACAAGTATTAGACACATTAGCAGCATATTCTTGTTAGAGGCAACTTGGCTGAAAGCATTAACATTTTAAAATTGACAGTTTTTTTTAGGACAATGAAAAGCATGCATCTTAGTCTTGACCTTGTAGTTATGATCGTATACTGGTATTGTAGAACTTTACTATGAACAGTAGTATGAGAAATAGAGAAATCAGGAACATATTTAATTCTTTTTAATGTCTCAACTCACTTTATCATCACTTAAGCCTTTTTATCCTCAGACCTTCATAACTTTAAATCATACGCTTTACATTACCATTTTAGGCCTTCCATTTCAGACCTTTATACCTTCCATTCTCAGACCTTCATAACTTGCATTTATCCATTGTGTTAGACCTTTCCATCCTCAGACTTTCATAACTTACACTTTCCTATCTTCACATAGATAAACCCTAAAATACCTGTTCCTGGAATCGGTTTTGCTTTAAGCTAGCAAGACTAACAGTCGTCAAAAGCATCAGAGTTCTTGAGAAGGATAAGA